GTATTTTGCCCCTTTATTTGGTTTTAAGTTTCTGAATGGTGTTGTCCTAAAATGTAACTTTCTGAAAACGCACTCAGACCTTCAGGAGTGAGAAATGCAATTCTGTACAGTTCCCATAAGAGAAAATACCAAGACTTTCCATGCCATTGGGGAGCCTGGAGAATTCTGCTCAGGTACACAGCTGACACACTGTTACACAGGTCTGAGTTCAGAATGCCCAGCATTTTTCCAAAATTCAGTGACCTTTAAAGAACGTTGAATTGGACATCCAAAATAAAGAGTCTCAGAGAGTGCTGCTGGGCAAACATGAAGGAAAGTCCTCATATATTTAACTTTTTTCAAGCAACATTAGGAATAGGTGACTGGGAAAATGATACATTCATTAATAAATTAACATAGCCACCCCCAACTCAGTTGTACAGGCAGCATGCCTGAGATGAGAAATGAGGCATTACACCACAACATCCACATCTGAGCATCCAGAGGACATCTTCATTGCTCAGTTTCTCCCATGTAACTCCATTTTCACTGCATCAGAATAACATCACAGGGGAGAAGAATCAGCAAATACGTCCTACAGGGAGCCAAAATGTGATCTGATGGCTGGGTTTAGTTATTTGAATGAAAAAAAGTGGGCCTGGATCCAGACTTTCTAATGTTTGTAGGCATTTGAATGTAGAGGATCTGAACTAGCATGAGCCATCTTAACTGTGAGGAATTTCTAACCCCAAACTTCTTTCTCCCCGCGTTTCAAGCAACGTGCTTCTCTAATTTCAGCAACATGGAAGTTTGCTTTAATAAAATAACTTTCTGGTTTCTGACAGCTCTTTCCTCAGCATTTTCCAAATAGCCCAATGTCAGCTTTTTCAGTGATGCATCCACTTGCAGAGCCTATTCAGGCCTGCTGCAGTCACACTGGGATAGGCTGTCTGCAAGTTCCTTCTTGACAGCCACCCTTCACAAAGCAGGCATACATTCTAAATCAAGCTCTGACTATGAATCTACCCAACCTCTGACTACAAAGAGGGCTTTTAGTGCAGAATTTTGTCCGTACGTTGTTGTGATATATTGATATGACTGCTCCATTCATTGGGAAACAATTTTATCAATTTTAGTTAATCAAATCAAGAAGATGAATGAACAGAATGCTTTCTGTGAATCACAAATCTGAGCTGGACAAGAAATACCAGAGAGAACGTGAGATGTTTTCTGCTTTTGTAGTGTTATCAGAGATTAGGTCTTTGGGTAGAAACTAAACTAGAACAGCAAAAGCCATATTTGCGTATTTTTCAGAATTAGACTTTAGTACCAGGAATGTCAAGACACAAAGAGTAACATTTCAAAACACAGAAATTCCATTCCACCAGTAGCAATCCCTCATTCTCTATTGTAACACTGAAACAAGGCTCACTATGAACTTACAGAACTGCAGCTACAGAAAGAAGTTATGGTTATTACAAAATGATTTAGATTGCACCATTATAGTACACACAGATATGCATTAAAAGTGTTTTATTATGCTAACATTCTTCTCTTGGGTTACTGTATATCAGAGAGATGTAATTATATCAACATGGTTACTCCATTACTACTTGGGGCGCTGAGCAACAAGCCAACATTCATCTTTGTAACTTTTATTGTGCTTAGGCTCTGTTTCTGACTACATATTTGAAAGGATCAAAATCCACTCTCGATGATAATTCCACAAGCATGGATATTTCAGGCAACACAGAAATGAAAAGTGAAATCGACTGATCTGTCAGGCATTGCTCAGTATCTGAACGTAAACATATTGCACAAAACCCACAAATGTCAGAATATGCATAACTGATCCTAAGCAAGCCTAACTTACAGCCACTGTAGACAACATCATAAGGTTCTGCTGACAACAACAGTTTCACAAACTGAAGTATTTAAGGACTTCACAGAAGCCTTGTGCAACTACGTGCTGGCAAGCAATACCTTCAGCAGCACCCAGAGCTGAAGGGATCCCAGTTACCATCCAGTGCAGGTGTTGTGTTTAGAGATGGGAAAGCAGTGTTTAGAGACTGCTGAAGCTTCCAAGTGGTCTTTTAAAAGTACAGCATTTCTGTGGTAAAATGAAGTATATTAAATGCCTGATGGCAAGAGATCTTTTCATTCAGTTGAAGGAAAACCCTGATTTTGCTGTTATGGAAGTTCTACTTCTCAACGTTTGTGAACAAAAGATAGCAGTTTCATTTTCCCTTAAGCAGTCGATTTGTTCCAGACCCAACTAGACTAATTCAACCTCTTCAATGCTGAGAACAAACCCAACTTTGATGCATACATCAAGAATTCTCCTCCTCCCTTCCAGTACTTAAACCCACAAAATAGCCCGTATCAGAAAGAACTAATTCCAATCACCTGAGGCAATTATAAAACATATATGTATATGTAAGAATATCATCATTTTAATTTATACACACTTAACTCCCAAAATAAAACACATTCAATAATATGCTTCCCATCCTCCTCAGTTACCAAAAAGTTGCCACCAGCAATGTCCCATCAGGAATACAGGTTCTAAAGAGCAGCAGAAAGATGTCATGAAAAGACACACAGAGACCCAAATGAGACCTGCTGTCCAGCAGCCATCCTGCTCTTCCATACAGCACTGTATGTGTGTGGAAATTTTGGTCAGAAGGTCTTTTTAAGAGTAAGCCCAATACAGAGGGGCAGGCCATTAGAAACAGAACGAAGTCTAGTTAAAAACAGAACCAGGAGATTTCTGAACCACCTCCCCATTCTGCACACAGACCATGCAACAAGCATTGTTCCCCTTAGAATTTTTCCTACCCTTCAGGTCCTCCATTGCCTCATCTGCATTTATCAAGTAATTCAGTTCCCTAGCCAAGTATCTTTATGACTTCAACTGCAGCTGCAAATGCAGTGTCATAAGTTACATTAGAAGAAAGTATTTTAAGGCCTATGAAAGTATTTACATAAAGACTTTTTATGGAAATCATAAAGAGTAGTGAGAATACAGTCAGTGCTGCAAGAGAACAGACAGTGCAGTCACACAATTAGCACAGCAGGTCCCCATTTTTCACTGAAATACAGCATCAGGGATACGTTGCTAACACCTTACCACCACAGACAAGGGGTATAAAGGAAATGGGATGCTTTAAATAGCAGGTGTTTGCAAAGAACTGCCAGTGTCAGACACCCCAAAGTGACAACTCGTCATTTATATCAAACAGGACACCACTCTGGTAAGCTGCCATGCCTCCCAACCCATGGATTGGCTAGAGGAACCTGCTAAAAGGACAGTAAAAAGAGTGAGCTCAGCCAGTGTAAAACAATAAACTGAGTAGAACTGCAAAAATGACACGGGGAAGCAAAACGATGAACCACCGTATTTTCTTCAAATATTAAAAAGTTTTAATGCTAAGAATAGCAGAAGCCCTAACAATACTTCAGCTGGTTCCCCCTCTGCTCTTCACAAATTCAGCCCCATCAGATCACAAGAAAAGATTCAAAAATCAGTCTGCTATTAACAGCTGACTTCAGCAGTTCAGTGCCATCCACTGCAACTGAACACGCAGAAACAGTGCATGCAGGCAGAGACCACCTTCTTTATTGCTAGGTTGTTTTTCTGGGTTTCTTTTTGTAGAGTTTCTCAACACTATGATTGCCACAAATAAGTAAAACAGAAAATAAAAAGCTTCCGTGCAGCCAGATTTTTTAAAAATATCTTTTTAAAAGAAATTGAGTGTTTTATTGCCCATTTTGTACTTATATTTTGTAACTCTGACAAAATCAAGCCATTTCTCAATATTCCCTAAGATTGTTTTGTTCCAAAACATAGTTTCCTCAGTACAAAAGACAGACTAGAGCCTTTTCATTCAGCTGTCCTGCTTTGTTGTTAATATTCAAATTCTTTTTACAGTGCTAGATTTTGCTCTCAAGCATTCCTGCTCTTTTCTCTGCTTTTTGAATCAGGCTATTGTACCTGAATTTCTATTAAAATTGCTCCAAGTAATGTACGTCCAGTTTTCAGAGACCATTTGGTCAGATTCTAATAACGCCTCCTGGGAGCTGACACCAACTTCCAGCAGCAGGTCGAAGGCTTTAGATTAGGATAATAAAACACATGCTGCTTCAGCTTCAAAAACAAACAAAAACCACAACAAAAAAGCAAGTCTGCCTTTATCAAGCTGAAAAATCATGGTGTTTTTTGTGTTTCCCCCCCCCTTTTAAGTAGAGAACGTACCATTGCAAACATTTTGATCCAGGTTCCACAATTCTTTTTGTTTTTATGACAATTTAGTGCATTTTTGCACTAAACTAAAATATATCTTTATTTAGACAATGCAGTAGTTTTTTCCTGTTTTAAAATACAAGAAATATATTTTTCAAAGTAAAGATGTTTTGGTTCAATGTGTTGGGTTCTTTTTTCCTGAATTCTTTGTGTAAAGGCAAAATAGACAATATGTCCTGAGAATTATAGAAAACCACCAGCTTAACAAGAGGCTGGTTTTGTTCCTCCACGTTAACACTGTCTTTGAGTACCTGCCAAGTAAAAAAACTATATATTTCCCCTTATAATTCATTAATATTTCTTACACTGTTGCAACTATGAATCCCAGGTGGATTAAGGCTTATTTGACCTCTTTGGTTAAAGGCAATTCAGTGCATAATGATTTTTTACTGTACTCCGTAAAATGAACAATTTCACATGCATAAATGCTAGCAGGAATCAACATCTCCTGTTTCTTTCTCCGACCTTCAACAACCTTGTTGTTTGCAGAAAAAAACCAACAGTTTTACTAATTCATAAGCACTCTGCAGACACAGGCAGCCCAGAGAGAAATCTTTTCAGCAGTCGCAAAGAAACATGAGAAAGCTTCCATAAAGATTCTGAGAAATTCTGAGAACCCAAAAGAATACAAGGGAAAAAAAATGCAAAAAAAAAAAAAAAATAGAGAAGAAAAGAAAAAGAAAGAGGTGTGAAGATTTAAAATATTCCCAATACTCACTGAAAGCAGCCACTGCAAGAGCCAGTGTGACAATAATGGAGACCCAGGAAACCCACAATGCCTTCTTTCTGTAGCTTTGAGCTTCATGAGGTTTTAGCCTTGTACTGCTTTCTAGTAAACCTGATAAGCAATAAGCAAAGAGGGTATGAACAATACATTGCTCTTTTTAAAGGCACAGCTGCGTTAGTTCAGACCTAAATCTCACATTCACATTCTATATTACTGTTAGAATCAATACAGAATCAAACCCTCCTCACACGATCATGGTTAGGTGAATGAAGCCATCAAAAATGTATGAGTAAGCAAGCAAAGCACACACAAGCTGTTTTGATTTCACAAAGAATAGAAAGCTTGCACCTCAGTCACTTAAAAGAGCACTGCAACTGCACAGCAGTGAACAGAAATTTACATTACTGTTTTCCACCTTTACATCCACACAGTGAAGGGCCCAGTGCTACACTCACTGAAACCAAAAATCATTTCAGGAATTCAGGATCCTGAACACAATAAACATAGGAGAAAAATGCAGGTCTGACAGTCTCTGAGAAGTAACCTACCAATGCACGAAAATACTGTGAGCATATTGTTCATCAAAGTAGAAGCAGGCACTCCTTAGAAGCAAAGCTATCACAGTTGAAAAAACCCCTTGAAGCACAGTCCCACATAGCAAGAATACATCTCCAACCAGAAGCTGCATTAGGGACTGATTGAAGAACAATTCTGGCCTTACTGCAATCAGGGTAAAAGTCTGCTAACAGAAGCAAACAGGACTGCTTTCTCTCATTACTGATGCTTTCCATTAGTGGAATTTTTTTTTCCACTTGTTTTAAATAGCAGAAAAGAATTCAAGTTAAAAAATAAAATAAAATTGCTTTAATTGGCTTTTGTTCTCTCAGCCTGGGTTTTAAGCCACTTTTTGGGTTGCATTCATAACAAACAGGCTTGTCTTTTGTTTATCCCATCCAGATTCTTTCCTGCTGAAGATACTTATTTCATTTAAAACACACAAATACTTCTTTTTCACCAGCAAGTTGCAACTCAAATCTGCTCAGCTGGTAAGAGAAGGCACAATGATTTTTCACTTTCTTAACAAATTACTCCAGGAATTGTGGGTGGCTTTTCTCAGATGACTATCTCGCCTGCCCCCACTGTACACAACACCAGTTTAATAATGCAGTCTTTCATCTGGTCTCACACCTTAGGCAAGGGCTAGAGAACAGGAGCGCTGGGGGACAAAGCAGATCGCAATCTAACAGCTGAAGCTGTAATATCCTCACCTTCCCCAGTTTTATCTCCAGTCTTTCTCTCATTGTCGCTTTGAGGGTGGGGACAAGCGATCTGCTTATGGGTGTACTCCTGACTCTACACCATGCTTCACTCAGTCCGTTAATGTTACCAGATATTAATTTCAACTGATCGTAATACGCTGGCTGTAAACTGCATTGGTTTTGCAATCAATGCAGAAGTGGATCAGCCATCTCTGCCTCAGGGGCAGCATGTGTCAGTGAGGGGCAGGCGTCCAAGGGTAGGAACAATTTCAGCCACCAGATTTTATTCTGCCATTTCAAGCCTGTCAGAATGACCAGTTCTAATCCAAGTCTTGCTGGTCACATTCACTCCCTCTTGGAAAAATGTTTTACGCTTTTTTATTCCTGCAAGGAAAGTGGACAGAGTTTCTCTATGAGAGTCCAGAAAGAAACTGGGAGAATTTAATTTAATGCTGCTCCTGTATTCTCAGAAAACTTAAAATACTGCCTGCCTTTTGTACTACACTCTGCCCTCTTTATGAACAAAAAATGAAGGCCTATTATGAAACAGTGTTTGCTTCTTACTACGTGAGTTCTTCTTCTAATACCTGAAATCTACCAGATGACAACTCTGAAAGGTCTGAGTCCCTTACAGGACTGCACAGCCATTTCTTACACAGTCTGCCTTCACTTGTGCAAAGGAATGGGTCTGTATTTTTGCAACGTTTCACCTATATTTTTTCAGTATATATATAGAGTTTAATTGCTATCTGCTGTGAGGTCATTAAAAACAGATCTTGAAATAAAGAATTAATTTCTACTAATGTAATCATGCAGAGAGCACCTTCTTATGTTTGTGGTATTTTCCCCCTTCTCCTCTCTCCCCAGTTCAAAAATTCTAAACTAAGGCCCAAATCTTGTTGGAATGCAAAATGAGGTGGTTTCCCTAAGCCAATTCTGAGTATCAAGACCTCAAATCTGAAATAAACACAGAAGAGAATGGCAGACATCCTCACCTGGTTCATTCTTTAAAGACATCCTACAGTTCATGGCTACTGCTCACTACTACCTGGGAAGACTAACATATACAGTTGATAATTACAAATCAAATAGTATCCTAATTAAATTGAGAAATGAATAATAAGCCCCATGGCTAGCATAGAACTCCTGATTGCTATTCATGTGTCGAGCACATGTCCAGTACAACAGAGACTGCAATCCTTATAAAACAGAACCACTTCTGCCGTGTGTGTGTGTCGTTCTCTCTCTCAAAATGGCTGGTATATTCCAGCTATCAGAGAGGTGATCCCTTCATTCCTACAAGAATTCAAATACATTTACCATATTTAACATTTTAATCCCTTAGAAGGATCATATTGTTTTTAGGAGTGTCCTAGGGGATGGCATGGAATAATACAAACTCATTCACATCACTGCCAAACCCATAGCAGGATTCACATAACACAAATCAACACCAGCTCATTAATTTACACACAACAACACAATTCAGAAAGTAAACCTCCATAACTTTTTTTCCACTGACCATAAGAAAACAAATTTTAAGCAACCATTGGAGGCTGAAAGATATTCTGAAAGAACCTGCAATCTGCACTGCAACAGAAATGAAAAGCTAATATCTACTGCTAAAATTCTTCCATTCTAAAATTAACATACTGGATGTTTTTACTACCAATATTTTATTTCACACACAGACATCCCTGAGGTAAAGAAGAGATCATGAGCTGGTTAAATTCACTGGATTTTTATTTTTTTATTTTTAGTACCTTCCTATATTAGCAGATTTTCTTAAAAAAAAAAAAAAAAAAAAATCAGAAGTAGAAAAAACCTGCCTAACAGTTGCAGAACACAAGCTTGGCATATTTGTGAAGCAATTCTAGGATATTCTTTACCATATGCTGACTTACCAGAAGTACTTTTCTGTTTGGCTAAGAGATCATTTTAAAATGTCAAGACAGAATTTGTGGAAGAGATAAGGCAAATAGAAAATTGTTCATCTAAGACATTAGAAGACCCCGTCTGAAAAATTACCACTCATTCTGGATCTGCATCTTAAAGAGTAAATATCTTGTTCTAAAATTTGAGGTTATTTTTTATTTTTAGCAAACATGGAAGTATCATCTCTATAACTGGATCTGCTATGATTCATAGGAAAGGATCATTAGAAACAGTACAGTCTAAAAGGACAGACTGTAACAATTTCAATATGGACAACCTGCAAAAAGCATACCAGGATTTCCTCTACAATGACTGGGAATGATGCCTGTAGATGGAATTGATGACTACAGGAAAAGTGATGAGAAAAAGATACTGCAAAGGCTACGAGAGAGCGTGAACACAGAGAAAGAAATAGAATCAGCTTTAGTCTCTTCTCACTCCAAGGAAGAGATAAGGCTATGTATATCAGATTCTCCCTTATAGGAATTCATACCAAGATGGCCAGCTTTCATCTTTAGCTCCGTCATACTGGGCACAAATTAAGAATTTCTGCGCTTAAACATCCACATCTGAACCCCAACCAAAATCTGTGGTGCCCATGATCTAGAATAGAACCAAAGCCTCAAACTGCCCCGAGTTAAGATGTCTGTCCTCCGCCATCGGATGCCACAGCCAGGTTCCCCTGGGAAGCGGATGCCCCCAGTGTGACTGAAACCTGCCAGGAAGACGCTGACTGCTCTTCCCCACTGCTGCCCTACTTCACACCCAGGAGATGTAAGCAAGCACAACAGGAGTTTGTAGAGCTGGGGAAGAATGCGAGATACGGGGTTACATGTATGATGGGAACATGGAAGTGACTTTGGGATGCTTAAAGAAAAAAAAGAGAGAGAGAGAGAAAGGGGGGGGGGGGGTGGAAGGAGGAATGCAAGAGAGATGCTAAGCCTGGTATGTGAAATAAAAATGGAGACAAATTGCGTGAATCGGGAACCTGGAGGCGTTATGGAGGCATTACGGAGGAGGGTTACAACGGCAGCTGGCGGCGCTCCCAGGGGGCAGCAGGTAAGCCAAGAGCCACGCACACAGGGAACGGCGTCCAAAATCAGCGCCTTTAAGGCTGAAAGCTAACTGACGCGGTTTGGAAGCCGGCAGCTTTCCATCCCTGGTCAGACAACCAGGTAAATAACAAAACAACAACAGTTTCGTGGGGCAGGGGTAGCGCAAGTGCCACGACGGGACCGCAGCGCCCTGCCCGCCCCTCACAGCCGAGCGGCTCTTCCCGCGCAGCGCCGCGGCAAGCAGGCGAGTTTCGGTCGAGGTGGGAACGGCCACGAAGGGAGTTTATAAAAATATCTCGGAAAGGGAAAACCCGGGGTAGGTTGGAGGCAGGTTGACAAACAGATGCCGGCTCGGAGGGGCCCGGGGACGGAGCGGGGATGTGACGGGACTCGTCCCGAGGGAACCGTGCGAAGCGCTCACCTCTGTCCTCCGGCCCCTCGCCGAACCGCCCGCTCTCCCCGATCCGTAGCTGCTCCTGCTCCTGCTCCCGGGCAGGCACGGGCGGGCTGCTCCCGGGGGGCTGCACGATGGCGGGGTCAGGAGTGCTGTCCAGGGCGGCTGCGGGCGGCTCCATGGCTCGCGGGAATCGGGCGGCGTCTGCGGAGCGAGGAGCGAGCGGAGCATCCAGCCCCGGTGCGAGCCCGGAGGAAGGAGGAGACTCCGGCTCAGAGCATCGGGGAGACGAGGAGAGAACAAACTCCTCCGGCCGCTCCCCGCGGCCGCCTCATTGCTAACCTCGCCGCCGCCGGGGGTGGGGGGGAGCAGGTGGGAGAGCGGTGCCGCCTCCCCGCGCCGCCCGTCCCCTCCCCGCCCCAGGGAGCGGCTCTCCGCCGGCGGGTACGGCGCGCGGCCTCGCGAGGA